ACACACACACACACACACACACACACACACAAAATTGTCTGCAGACAGTCTTTTAAACTAAAGAGAGAAAGGGAAACACAACAAACATTAGAATGTAAGATAACAAGGTGTAGAGCTGGATGAAAATACTTTCTGAAAATATTTCTGAAGAAGGGTCTAGGCCCGAAACGTCAGCCTTCCTGCTCCTCTGATGCTGCTTGGCCTGCTGTGTTCATCCAGCTCTACACCTTGTTATCTCAGATTCTCCAGCATCTGCAGTTCCTACTATCTCTGAAACAACATACACCACTGACTGCTGTGAAAAGCCATCTCATTCACTAATGTCCTGAAAACACTATCTGCCATCCTTACTCAGCCTGGCCTACATGTGACTCCAGACCCAGCTGCCCTTTGAAATGACCCTGCTAAGTCACCCAGTCCAAGGGTCATTAGTGATGGGCAACAAATGCTGGCCTTGCCAGAAATGCTGACATCCCATCAAGGACAGGAACAAGCCCAGCCCTCTCAATGGGAAGCAGGCTCGGTGTCATTTCTGCACTTTATTCAACGTGGGGTGGCGCATTTACACTCTGAGCCACTGCAGGCAGTAGTGATTTGACTTCACTAAATTGGTTCACTGACAGCATTTGTAATCGTGTTTTTTGTCTGTGTGTGTGCGCGTGCGTGTGTGTGTGTGTGTGTGTGTGTGTGTGAAGGCACTTCAGATCTCGTTGCAGAGCAGCAGAGGGCCTGTGGATGTCTTCCTGTGCCCCGAGAGCGGTTCGGGAACTTGCAGTCCTGTGAAGAGCCTCAGCAGCCCCGTGAAGATCAGTCCTGTTAAAGTCAGCCCCATTCGCATGGGCAGCCTGGGTCCAGTGACCCACCAGGAACTGTTGGGAAGCACTTCCCAGGGCACCATCCTCTCGTCGTCTTCAAGTCATGACCAAGGTCTGTGTGTGTTTGCCTTATTTTGTTCCCTGTGGCCTGTGTTCCAGTGCGCAGTATAGTCACCTCTGAGTCTGAAGGTCGTGGTTTCAAATCCCGCTGCAGAAGCTTGAGCGTATTGATCCGAGGCTGACATTCCAGGGGGAAGTGCTCCCTGAGGCAGCGCTGTCCTTCCAATGAGCTGTTAAATTGTTGGTCTCCCCTGCCCTTTAAATGCACACAACAGAGTCTTTCAAGAGCAGGCAATTGCTTCCTGGTGGCCTAGCCAAAATCTGTTCCACCACCACCTCCTCCTCTCTCTGTCTCTCCCTCCCTCACCACTCACCACCTCCCACCCCGGATCAACTTCACTGAAAATGAACACATTAGCTAGTCATGGAGTCATACAGGACGGAAACAGACCATTTGGTCCAACCAGTCCATGCCGAACATACTCCCAAACTAAGCTAGTCCCACCTGTCTGCGCTTGGCCCATATCCCTCCAAACATTTCTTATTCATGTATTTATCCAAATGTCTTTTAAATGTTATAACTATAACTGCATCCACCACTTCCTCTGGAAGTTCATTCCACACACAAACCACACTCTATGTAAAATGAAGTTGCTCCCATGTCTTTTCTAAATCTTTCTCCTTTCGCCTTAAAAATATGCCCCCTAGTCTTGAAAATCCCCACCCTAGGGAAAAGAGACCTGCCATTCACCTTATCTATGCTTCTCGTGATTTTATAAACCTCTATGAGGTCACCCCTCAGCCTCCAATGCTCCAGTGAAAAAAGTCCCAGCCTATCCATATAACTCAAACCCTCCATTCCCAGCAACATCCTGGTAGATCTCTTCTGAACCCTCTCCTTCCTATAACAGGGTGACCAGAACTGCACACAGTATTTTAGACATTATCACATGGCTAATTGCTTAGAATAGAATGTAAAACATTGCTAAAAGGAGCCCGAGGCTGAAGCTTTTCATCTCGCATTTGTCAGTGTAACAAGGCAAGAACAAAGGGCACTGATTTACACAGTGTGAGAAGAGGTTGCTGATTGGTTGGGCCATCGTTGGCATGGAGATATTGCAAGAAGTTACCTGTCAATCTTAGTTCTCAAGCCAGACAGGTGGATTGTGATTGGTCAAGGTGTTGCCATGGGGATGCAGCACAGATTGCCACTTTCGATGAGCCCATTTTATTCCTAATGAAAAGGTGCAATATATGGAGGAATTCCTTTTATCTGCATAAAACGGAGTTCTGTACCCTCCTATTGCATGTGCAAATACATCAGACTGTGTGCCCAGCTGCTTATCTTACAATGTGTAATTGTTAGCACAGTCTGGATCATTTAATCAATGTTGTTCAATAACAGAATCACATCTAATGGTGGATATAGTGTTCTGAAGCTTCCAAACGCAGGCTGGTTGGGCACAGCTGGCATGCAGCCCACTGTGAATGATCTTTGGGACGAGTTTGTTTCTTACAGTCCGCCCGTGTTTGGAGTGTACACCTTACCCACCTGGCATCACATTGGCACAAACTCGTACATCAAGTTGCTCAGCTTTGTGGTTGCACCTCGGTCCTGCTAAGTGCAAACTGAAAGCCTCTCACCTTCTTTTGATAGTGCGTGAATGGCACATTGCTGTCTGTGGGATCTTGCTGTGTGAAATTTAGCTGTTGTGTTTCCTACATTACAATAGTGACTCTGTTTCAGGAGTACGTGGTTGACTGTTAAATGCTCTGAGATATCGAGGTTGTGAAATAGCTACAGAAATAGAAGCCTTTTGTTTCTAAAAACACCTTGAGTGATATCTCCAAACCACATGTTATCAGGTGCATTAGGCTTTGGGCCTGTGCAATGCTGCTCTTAGACTGGGTTTTGCCCCCAAGTGCTGACTTACAAAGGTGCCGTTGTATCATTTGAAGGTTGACATTGTAACTTACACATAAGAGCAAAATACTGCCCGTTTGCTGGAGTTCTTAAAATAAAAACAAAGTGCTGGAGAAACTCAGCAAATCTGGCAGCATCTGCTGAGAGAGAAACAGAGTTAACAATTCAAGTTTGATACGAATCTTTGCCGAGAAAGAGTCATACTGATCTTAAAGCATTCACTCTGTTTTGCTCTTCACAGATCCTGCCAGCCTGGCCAAATTTGGGGCGGCTCAGTGGTTAGCACTGCTGCCTCGCAGCGCCAGGGACCCGGGTTTGATTCCACCCTCGGGCGAATATCTGTGTGGAGTTTGTACGTTCCGCCCGTGTCTGCGAGGGTTTCCTCCCACAGTCCAAAGATGTGCAGGTTAGGTGGATTGGCCATGCTAAATTGCCCATAGTTCCAGGGTGGATTAGCTATGGTAAAGGTGGGCTTATGGGGATAGGGTGTGGGATTGGGTCTCGGTGAAATTCTGTTCAAAGGGTCAGTATGGACCTGATGAGCCGAATGGCCTCTTTCCACAACTAGGGATTCTATGACTCTCCAGCACAGTTATTTGAGACATTGAAATTTGGTTTTGTTGCATCTCTCAACCTGATTATTTCTGTGTGTAGGTGTTTGTGGGGCGGAAGGTGGGGTTAAGGGAAGATCCCATCATTTCCTACAATTTCAACTGACACTTGTTTCTTCTGCTTTCACAGGGACGCACCTTGCAAGTAATACATCCTCCCCATTGGGAGGAGTTGTGGACATTAACCTCTCCCCTTTGACCTCAGCTGTCAATCTTCTACAGCAGCCAGACGACACCCTTCCCACAATCCCATTCGACGACATGTTTGTCAATCTCTCTCCGCCAGTGTTTCAGGATTACCATTTTGGTTTGGACGAAGGGGAAGGGATCAGCGAATTGTTCGACTGTGACTTTGACACGTTACCACCATTGGAGTTCTGAGGGAGTGTTTGTGCGTAAGTTAGGAGCCAGCCTGTGTTATTCTGTAACGGAAACAGAAATTGCTGGAGAAACTCAGCAGGTCTGTGCAGAGAGAAAGCAGAATCAATGTTTCAGATCAAGTGGCCTTTCTTCAGAATTTCCAGCATCTGCACTTCTTTTGTGTTTTTGTCTTGGTTTACTGTATTATTCTGTGCCAGAAATGTTTGGGAAAGGCTTCCTCCCATTCCCTCATGTGATCGATCAGCTGGAGTTGCTGGAATCGCTGGAAGATGAAAGTTTGAGGCTGGAGTGAATTTGCTCATTCCATGGTTCCTGCTCTCTATGAAGGTGCTCTCCCTTCCTGAACCACAGAGTACGTTATTGTATCTTCCCCCCACCACACCCCCTCCATTTCCTTTCCTCCCTTCCCTGTTTTTGTTTATTCTTTTGTGGAATGTGAATGTTGGCGAGACCAGCATTAATTACCCTTCCCTAATTGCCCTTGAGCTGAGTGACCAACTGGGATGTGAAGAGTGACCGTATAGTTGTTGTCTCTGGAGTTACATGTAGGCCAGGCAGGATAAGCTCAGCAATTACCTTCCTTAAAGGACAGGAATTTTTGTTTTAAGACAATAATAGTTGCTGAAACTAGCTTTAGGTTCCAGTTTAATTGAACGAATTTAAATTCCACCAACTGCCTTGATGGGATTTGAAGCCTTGTCTACAGGCCATTAGCCTGGGCCTCTGGATTGCTAGCCTAGGGACATTATGGTTACACCACCATCTCCTCTGGCATCTCCTCGGGCCATCATCTGCACACCAGACACTTGTCCTTAGCGACCAAGCAACTGTGACAGGATCATTGTAGGAGTTGTGTTCCTCCAGCTCTACACTGTGTTATCTCTGACTCCAGCATCCATGGTTCTTACTATCTCCATGTAGGAGCCATGCTCGGAGAGTGGGTGGGGGAGGCCCCACACATATCCCAGCGTTCCTCTCTTCCCTGTCCTGAGGGAGCAGCGCTGTGTACCTGAGGGGAAGTTGCAGATGGTAAGTGGATAAACCCAGCAATTCACTGTGAAAGGCCCACACTTCCTGTGCAGTCCAGATCCTCACTGGCTCACACCAACAGAGCTAGCAGCATTGGCACAAATCGACAGTGGGTGGGGCAGGGGGGTGCTCTCTCTGTTAAACTGAAGGCAGCTCTCCTGGCTCTCCTACTGAAGCAAACTCTTTGTTCTGTGAATGGTATTAATTTTAAACAATCGTTTGGTGCTAGAGGAAAGACAATGAGCTGTTGAAGCTTCCCATCTTTCACTGAGCACAAATGGCAAGTTTCAAAGACTGCGTTTGTGCCTCCCTGCCACTGCCAGGGGAGCACTGTGCACCACAGCCATGAAATCAGTGTGTCACTTTTAAACTCTTGCCCAGCAGCAAAGGAACGTTTATCAAAGAAATCACGAGACCCTGTGTCAGGACCAATCGCACCCTTTTCCTCCTGCTTGGTAAATTGATGTTCCCTTTGAATTTGGCATTCTTGCAACGGTCTGGTCAAGTGCGAGACAGAAAGCTTTGAAACCATAACTGCCTGTTTTGCCAAAATTCAGGTTTTAATTTTGTTGTGAATCAGCATTCTTCTTTTCTCTTGGCAAAGATTTCCCCTGATCGACCTCTCTTTCTTCTCCGAGCTGTTTACTTTTCCAGCCAGAGGCTGAAACCCTTCCCGGGCTGAACTATATTCCGAGATTTCCGGATGGCGCCATGTTGGTGTGGATTCTGTGCTACAGAGCTACCCGTGCAGTGGGGAGGGAGGGAATGGAGAACCCCCCCCTCCCCCAGGCCAGGGTGTGGGAGCTGTTGGGCTTGGAGTGTCACTGTGATTGACATCCCCAGTGAAAGCTGCTTAAAGTCCCTTCGGGACCCCCGTCTCCTGTGAAGGGGAACCGTTTTTGCCAACTGCGTCTTTCTGGTTGGATGGGGTAGGATGGCGCGCTCTTCGCAGCAGTGGTCCTGATGCTACTGCGGCGTTGCCATGGTGGTGCGGTGGGGGCCCAAGCTTCCTGGTAACCTTGGTAACCTGTTGGTTTAGAAATTCCGATTGGCCGGGCAGGTGAGTGACTGAGGGTCACGTCTGGGATCGTTAGGTGGTTGTTGGGGGCTTCTAACTGAACCCGTGAGCATCCTTTCCCTCCCCCAACTCTCACCCTCATGACCCAGGCAATGCCAACTGTCCAGGCCATTTCAGTGCCACCACTTACCCACCTCTGAGCAGTTTGATGGTTACATTTACGAAGCAAAGCTCAGACCCTGAAGGGAGAGGGGTAGAATTTGGATTTACATAGTGCCGTATATGACCCTCGACAACAGCCTTTGATGCAACAAAACGCCTCGAGGCGTTTCACAGGGGCGTTATTAAAATGCATGTCCGAGCCACTGAGGGATGATCAAAACAGGTAGGCTTCAGGGAATGTCTGAATGCAGGAGAGTGGGAGGCAGAGGTTTAAGGAGGGAATTCTGGAGCGGAGGTTATAGGGCACTCGAGTCTCGGCTGCTGAGGGTGGAGTAGTTAAAATCGGGGAGGCTCGAGAGGCCAGAATGGCAGTGAGCGCACAGGGACTTGGAGGGTTGGAGGTCAGAGGAGGCTGTAGAGATGGTGAGCGGGGGGATGCTGCAGAGATGGTGAGCGGGGTGGAGATGGTGAGGCGGGTGGGGGGCGGGGGCTGTGAAGTGATTTGTAAACGGGTAGAAATTGTAAAATCAGAACATTGCTTGAGGGGGATGAGGGTGGTGGGCTAGGGTCATTCAGGGAGGACTGGGTCAGTGGCAGAGGGCGATTTATGATGAGTTATGGAGTGGTAGAATGTGGTACTGTGTTGGAATAGCCCAGACCGAGGGTTACAGCAGCAAATGAGCTGAAACAAGGGTGATGCCTGGCAGGCTTAGTGATGGATACAGATGTGTAGAGGACAGAGACATCTGTGTTCAAATACACCTAACTAAAGTTGTGCCACTGTTTAGCAAAGTCATTTTATAAAAAACAAACAAGAGGTGTTATATTCAGTGGGATAGAATTGAAAAGTAGAGAGGTTATGGTAAACCTGCATCAAACCCGGGTGCAATTCTGTTCAGAAAGGATGAAGAGGGCTCTTATGTACAATATGGCTGCTGATGGCATCTTGGGAAGCACTTCATGGATTTGCAAAGTCCAGAGTTAATTATTCTTCAGTTTTCACACAATGAGCTGATGGTACTCAACTGTACCTCAACCACTGCCCCTTGACTCACCCACTGTCCCTGAATTCTCGTATGTGAATACAGGAGAGTGGGAAGCAGAGCGTTAAGTGCTGACCTAGCATCTAGTTAATGGGCCATCAGAAATCTCCTCCAGGTAAATATCGAGAAGATCGCTCAAAACTCCTTTTCCCCTGCCCCAGCTAACAACTCCATCACGTCCCTGGCAAAAGTCTGAGGTCGGGGTGGTCTGTCGATCAGCTTCATGCCAGGGAAGAATGATATCTGTTGAAATGCACAAAAACTTCTACTTCAGATTTAAAGTAACAACTGAACTCTCATGAGTAAACACCCTGGCCTGTTTAATTGTTCTTGATAAATCAACCCATCATCCCAGGAATCGGTCAAGTGAATTTCTTATGAACTGCCTCCAATGTTGGCATGTATTTTCTCAAATACAGTGACCAAAACTGTGCACAGTACTCCAAGTGAGGCCTAATAATAACCGTCTATCTTTCGATTCTTCCCACCAAAGTGCATGACCTCGCACTCCCCTTCATTAAACTCCAAGTTTTTGCCCCCCCAATAACTGATCTATATCCCATTGCTGAATCCTTATATCCTAATTGCAACATGCCCTCCCATATATTTTTGTATCATCAGCAAACAGTATACTCTGTCCTGTTCACCAAGTTAATAATATAGATATTGATAATTTATGGTGTAGACTGAACCTCATGGTACTCCATTAGGTACCTCTTGCTTCTTGAAATAGACCCGTTACTCCTGACTGTCTTCTGTGTGTTAACCAGTTCTCAATCCATTTCCCTCAGTACCATGAGCTCCTCCTGTCTTGTGCAATAACCTTGTATGTGGCACCTTATCGTACGCTTTCTGGAATCCAAATATGCTGTATCCACCAGTTCCCCTTTATCAATACTGCTTCTTATATCCAGCAAATTTGTTAAACATGATTTTCCTTTCACAAAACCATGTTGATTCTGCTTCTATTAAGCTTTTCTCAATGTCCTGTTGTTTCTTTAGTAATAGACTCTAGCATTTTCCCAATGACAGACATGAAGCTAACTGGCCTGTAGTTTCCTGCTTTCTGTCTCCTTCCCTTTTTGAACAGGGGCATATGTTAGTGGCTTTCTGGGTAGGATGCTCTTCAGAGGGTTGGTGTGGACTCGAGGGGCTGAATGGCTTGCTTCCACGCTGTAGGGATTCTGTAAAACCTGATGGATTCAGAGCATCAGGTTGAGGAGACTTGTCTATCTTTCAGCCCCATTGGTTTGTTTGCAACTTCCTGTGCTAAGGAGTTCTCTGAAAGAAGAAATTTCTCCACATCTCAGTCTTAAACTGGCACCCCTTTATTCCGAGACTATGCCCGCTGGTGGTAGGCTCCCCTCATAAGGGGGAACATCCTCTCAGCATTTACCCTCTCAACTCCCTTAAGAATCCTCTATGTTTCAATGAGATTAACTCTCGTTCCTCTAAACGCCAGTCAGTAGAGTGCCAACCTGTTTAGCCTTTGCTCATAAGGCAATCCCTCCATACTGCTGCTTTTAAACTCATTGTAAGATGTAGTGCTTCACATGTTCCTTTGAGGTAGGTCACCAAAACAGCTGACCAGCTCATCTAACTAAACAATCTCCGAGAGGCTTTGATTATATCATGAGACTTGAATTTCCTGTCCCGCTGCTGATCTTGATCTGGCCACTAGGTGGGGCAAATGTGCAGCCTTAGACCAGGTGGCTGGTAAATTTATTAGGGACATCATTATTTTTCTTGATCTGCATCCTTCATATTGCACATTTCTACGTCTGAAGGATTTATTTCAATTTAAAATAACACATTGCTTTAATTTCCATAGGGTCAGAGGTTAGGAGGGACTACATCACTGCTACTGTAATTTCTCCAACTCCCTCCATCCCCCCAACCACTTGTTTGCTCTCAATCTCATTCCCCCTCTCTCTTTTATCCTGTAACCCACACTGTCCGTTGCCTGTTTCTCTCTTGCCCCTTCTCTCTCCCTCTCTTGCCCCTTCTCTCTCTCTCCCTGTCTCGCCCCTTCTCTCTCTCTCTCCCTGTCTCGCCCCTTCTCTCTCTCTCTCTCTCTCTCGCCCCTTCTCTCTCTCGCCCCTTCTCTCTCTCTCTCGCCCCTTCTCTCTCTCTCGCCCCTTCTCTCTCTCTCTCGCCCCTTCTCTCTTTATCCTTCACTCTCTCTCTGTTACCCCTTGCTCTCTACCTCCCCCCTCTCTCTGTTACCCCTTGCTCTCTTCCTCCCCTCTCTCAGTTACCCCTTGCTCTCTACCTCCCCTCTCTGTCTTTCTTGGTCACGATTTTATTTCTTTCTGCCCACCCACCCATTACTTAAAATGATTGCTTTATCACCTATTTCCTTAGTTGCCATGACAATATTGCCTACATGAAATTTAAAGATCCAAGTCAGGATATTTTTCTCTCTCTGTGACAGGAGGGCCTTATAATTTGCAAAAGAGTTTTTTTTAAAAAATGAGGAATAATCACTTTTAGATTTATCTAGCAGCAGTCTGTGAGTGGAAGACTACAAGTCCCCCTCATCTTCCCCTCACTGAGACACATCGTCCCTTGATGGGAATTGTGCTGTGTAATATTTATATATCAATTGAGACAGCAAGTCTATCAGTCAGTCTCTATTTGACTCTCTGTGGGAGGTGTGTAGCCTATTATTGAGTTCCTGGTTAGTCTCCACTGATTTTATTGTAAGCTGGAAGCTCATGATTGCCTTATCCAATGGGATCCACTGGGCTTCAAGATGAGTTGGAAATGATTAGCCATCTTGTTTGGGCAGTGGCAGAGGGAAGGGACTTTGAGGTTTTGAGTGTGTGTCCAATTTTCACTCTCCTTTCTCCCCCACTCTCCCTGGGAGGTGCTGCCTGTTTGGAGTGTGGGGACAGTTATGTAAGGTAATTATTGACTTCTGCCTCTCCCTGCTTCCTCCATTTGATTCACATCGTCTCAGCCCTTGTCCTTGCCCAGCGTCCTTCCGTGGGCTTTCAGGGTGCCTCAGTCACAATGGGGTGGGGGGGGGGTGCCAGGAATGCCACCTTAACATAGAGTCATTACAACATGCACCAAGACCGTTCAGCCTATCAAGTCCATACTGTATTGTTCTGTCCCATCTCATCCTTGCCACATTGACCTTATGGGGTTGGAATTGTCATCGAGACATGAAACATCCACGTGCCCCCTCCACATCCTACAGCTTCCACCACCCAGAGGGAAAAGCCAGTAATATTTGGAAATGTGTGTGCTGGAGCTCCTGTTTGAGGTGTACAACATGAGTTGGACCAGTACGTTTCATTCACAAGTTTAACTGTGTTTTCCTGCACTGATTTTTAATGTAACAGAGCTCTAAGATCTGGGTTGGGGGAACAAAAGTCATTGCTTACGATACCCTAAGGTGGAATTGCCACAGTATTGAGTTGTGACACTGAATGCACATCCTGTGGGTGTGTGTGTGTGTGTGTCTGTCTGTCTGTGTGTGCGCGTGTCTGTGTGGGTGGGTGGGTGGGTGTGTGTCTGTCTGTCTGTGTGGGTGGGTGTGTGCATGTGTGGTGTATCTCAATAAAACAACTGTCTTTCCTAGAGATTTACTACCTGTGAGTCACTGATTGAACTGATATTCATTATACTCATTTGCTTGTGGAAATGTTTGTGCTTGTCCATGCGTGTGAATATACAAATATATAATATATTTCGTTTGTATAAAGTTTTAACATGGTCATTAAAACAAAAGCTGTAAAACAAATTTGTATTTGATTTATTCTGTTGAAAAATGTGCACAGCGATATCCCATTACCAGCAATATTGGAATGATCTTAAACCGCGAGTCCCAGATTATCGAACGTCCAATTTACGAATGCTCAGACTCACAAAGGAATCCAAGTACATGAATAGAGGAGGTTTGGGGAGATATGGGCCAGGAGCAGGCAGATGTTTAGATGTTTAAACCAATTAGTTTAGTTTGGGATTATGTTTGGCATGGACTGTGCTGTATGGCTCTATATGAAAGTTTTCTGTACTTACAAGTGGCTGCTTCATATTGTCCTGCATTGTGTTCTGACTTGTGTACAAATTGATTTGCAAACAGACTCAAGAACAGAGCCCATTCACAACCTGGGGACTGGCTGTAATATTTCTATAGGTCTCTTGTGGCACGGTGGTAGTGTCTTGATCTCTGTTCCAGGAGGCCTGGTTTCAAATCGCACCTACCCCAGAGGTGTTATAACATCCCTGAACTGAGTGATTAATAATGCTTAGAATGTTTCTTTTACCGATGTTAGTTGATGGATAAATATTTTCCCAGACACTGGAAGGGCTGCCCTGCTCTTTTTCCCTGCTCCAATCATATAACCCGTGGCCAAATATAACTTGGAGTCAAG